ACGCCAACATTTTTATTCTCTACACTAAAGCTTTGGCACAATTAACTTCTTGTAAAAATGTCGATCCGTTCATCTTCCTATAACCATGGTGAAGATGTTCTTTTATGTCAAGTTTATATGGATATTTTTCAGGACCCAATTATTGGGGTATACCAATCATCTGATCGATTTTGGTCCCGTATTGAAAATGCTTTCAATGAAGGACGACTTGAGCATTGAGAGGTTTGTACCAAGAGATCTATGCAAGCACGAATTCAAACAATCGAAAAAACAGCCAAAAGACTCCATGCATGCATTAAAGCAGTAGAAGATATGCATCAGAGTGGTGTATCAAATGAAGATACAGTGAGTACTAAAATCTGATTGTATTTTTTATTTATTAAATTTATTATTTATATTAGCTATGGTTGATTGTTTATGAAAATTGTAGATGCTCGGAGCAAAAGTGTTGTTCAAAGAGGATTCCAAATTCAAATCCGGATGGAAATACGATCATGTTTGGGATATTATTAAAAACTTTGAAAAATTTAAAGATGGAGCTGCGAGGAGCAAGAAAAAACATTCTGGTTGTTATCCATCTTCGGAGTCAGAAAATCCAACTCCCGAGTCTGCCCGACAAGAATCCGCAGGTATTTCTTCATTTTCTAAAAATTTAAGTGACTCCGATCAATTTGCTACTGGTTCTCCATCTGAAAGACCTATCGGGGTCAAGAAAGCCAAACTAAAAAGAAAGGTAGATGATGATTCATCATCGCTCATCAATGCGATGAAAGAAAACGACCAAATAAAACATCAAATGGAGATGCACAATAGATCCCTCGCTTTAAAAGAAATGAGGGAAGAAAATAAAATTCTGTTTCAAGATGTCAGTTCCATTGAAGATCCTAGAGTTCGAGCATACATTGAAGCTGAAACGGCACGAATCTTGGAGAAAAGAGCTCAACAAGCCCAACCGGATCCATATCCAACCTATGCATTTGGCCAATTTTTCAATGATCTTGGAGGAAGTGGTGCCAACTTGCCAGATTACTAAGTATTCGTGCTTGTTTTTAGTTTTTGGGTTTATGATGTATTTTTATTTT